ACCTAAAAAATGTGTTCTGTGTGTCTAGTGTTTCGTGCGGCGATGAACGTGAACGGGTTAGTCTTTACTAGAAGAACATTTGGGTAACACATCTCGGGAAAGAAACAAACGACAGAACAAACATGTTCTGTGTCTCTTTGACTGAAGATTGGGCCACCGTGATGATTGTAGCTTGATGAGCCTCTGTTGAAACATGCTGCTCTAGCTCCCTGAGAGTCCAAATGACCCATTTTACCCCTAATAGTGAAGTGATGGATCATGACTTTCAAGTTCCGGAAGTTCTGGGGTTGTTGATCACGGGAGTGAAGCGAGCTCGGCATGGTACGAGCAGGGCGAATTGGTCACCGACGTGGTCCGCGTGAAAAACCTGCCAAAACCAATGGCCACAACACCTCTACGTATGGAAACAAATCGCCGTGGTTCGTATTCATCATCCTCTCTGAGCCAAACGCTGCAGGCAAAGGTAAACCTTAAAAAAGAACACATGTTGAGCAAGTCACTTGCAATGTCCAAAAAATCTACCGCAATCACTCATGACTCATGACATAAGCATGCCTCCCCAGGTTGTCAGTGGGTTTCCAAAGAACGTATACTATTTTGTGGCCCTCCAGTTCGCTGAAGCAGTGAAGGTGACTTTGATCACCAGTGTGGGTCTCGTCACCTTTCACCAATTATACAAGTTTGTTTTGTGCCTTTTGGTTGCAGTGTTTGGCACACTTCGTTTCACTTCTGAGGGACAAAAAAAGAACAGCAAACACGTGAAAGTGAACACAGGTGGAAAACCTTGAGTCAGCAGCTGACTCCGAATGAGAGCATCAGCAAAGATTTTTCACGTATCAGTATCCTGCTTAAGCAATCTGTGGTTTCAACAATCAATCGACACAGCCACGCAGCCTCCGAAAACATTGGCCGCAAACAGTCGAACGAAACAAGAAAAAACCGGTGCGCCTGGGAAGGGTGTAGGCGGTATGCCAAAAGTGGGTTTAACGACTTCTAGCTGTTCCGAACGCTCGCATGCATTCACTCATTTCCTGGTTGGCCAAGAATATATATATAACTTGGATACATTTGGCCCGCTTGGGGGCCTCACTGGAAGCATCGGCCTCCTGGAAGCCTCACAGTTTGAAAACAAATCACTTTACTTCGAGGTGAGGAAGAAGGCAGGCACGTGTATTGACAGACTATAAAACTATCTTGACAAGCGCTGCGACCATGTTCTGACAATTGTTCTGGCATCAAGCCTGTTATGTGTTCTGACATCCTTTCTGGCATATGTTGTGACATGACATGCGCCCTGCCATCAAGTCGGAAGTGCGCTCTGTTCTCTGTTGTGACATTGTGACATACGTTGACATTTGCTCTTCAAGTCATGTCATGTATTCTGACACTTGCTCTGCCATCAAATCTGCCATGTCTTCCGACATGCTTTCTGGCGTGTCTTCTGACATGTGTTCTTTTCAACTTGATGTTTCACCGGCCGTGTCTGCCATGTCTTCTGAACAGACCGGTGCTCCGTGCGCCATCGGAGCGCGAAACATACCGCTCCGGAAGCCGTTTTTAACCCGAGCAGCCGGACGGTCCGGCTGAGTCCCAGCATGTTGAAGGGAAATGCTGCAGTGTTTTCTCTACGACTAACATGTCGTCTTCCAATCTGAACACTCACGGTTTCTTTCCTCATCATGCTTCCTCTCACCGTTTTCGCTTTGAAGACTTCTCGGCCAACTGGCGCAACCCGCGTGAGGGATCAGTGCGCTCCGCCGCTCCGCGATCTCAAACCCTTTTTTCTTTGCCTTTCCGCACGCTGGCAATCATTCTTCACCTCATACGATATATAGTGTTTGCATTGCTTGTTCCGTGTTCCATCACTGATCACTTTCGGTTTGGCTTCTACGAGTACTTTTGGTCCTCTGACTTCAGTGCGGCAGCGGTGTGGCATCCGAAGCCGAGGGAGGGCAGGGGTTGCTTTTTGGCTTGCTTTTGGGCTTACTTGGTGGAAAACAGCTTCGGCATGCTCGTATTACACCAGCCGTGACAAAAGGTTTGGCCACACACATCGAGCGGCTTAACCATCTCTTCATCGCTGCCATGGCCATCGCTTCTTGGCGACTTCCAATGGTTCTTTAACGTGCAACTTGCCTTCACCCATGTAGGCAGTTCGGGAACAAACCGTCTGCAGTGTAAGAGCTTTGCTCGATTCACATGATATCACATGATGGAGTGGAGCAGGCCTGCAGAGCTCCACTTAACAAAGCTCTCTGCAGTGTCCTGAGGAAATCACTGGAGACGTCCAGTGACGTACCTGCTACAAGAATTTGTCCACATGCTGTGACTCTACTTTTCCCTTTTTTGTTTCCATGGTGGTTTTCACGATACCTTCCCCATAAACAGGTTTCCCTCCGCCGCTTTTCCACCGTTCGTGAGCTGCTGCCGCAGTCTTCTGCAGACGAGAGAAACTCCTTTGTTAAAACACCTACAAGTGCTTGGACGCTTCACCTTTCCGTTGAGCCATTCTTTTCCTCGTGGAACAGATGTAACTGCAAACCCATTATCTAAGTGTGTAAACGTGTGCGCGTATGGTTGTACTCTTGGAACTCTGTGTTTAGCAAACAACAAACAATATCAACCGATGGATGTTGGTCTTCATGCTGCTTGAGCTATGCGCCAAGGACCCGACATCTTTCCGTTTTCCACTTATAGGCACAATTATATACAGTAAATGTGCTTGCTCCCCATCTCAGGAAAATTGCTTTTACACAACATGCCTCACTTCAGCTTCACACGAGCTCGCTTCTCGGTGGTCACTTCTTTCTCGGTTCTCGTCAGGTCTGTTCCTCTCCGTGGAAGGGCCAATGAATGGCGGCTCTGCATTGGATATGTCAATGTCGGATGCATTTGCTGCCCCAAGTCAGGGCCGTCGGGAAAAAACTGGTGTCCATTGATGGAACCGGTCACAGGCGGGGCTGCACTGTTCCTGCTGTTCATGAACCCGTCACAGAAAGCTGACAAAGAACACCAAGTCTAGGAAGGGGTTGGAGAAGTTCTTCGATCCACAGCTGCTTGAAGAAACATCGTGTCTACACCATACGTCGTACGTTGACAATTCAAGGTGATTCATTGTGCAGAACACTCGCGTTTTGAGCTTTATCGCGGTTGGCTGCTGCGACTTTGATTCATGCGACCACTGCAGGGACAGCGCCACGTTTTCTGAGTTTGCGCGAGCACTTGGAAGACGGATCAATGAGAGCATCATGATCCCACTGAATATGATCTGCCCTAAGAATCCGGGCCCGAAGCAACACGTACCAATTGGGGTTTTGAGGGTCCGGACCCCTGTGAAGGTGTTGGGTCCGACCCCTGCCATAGAGAGGATAGACAACTTCTGCAAGTCGGAGAGGGTCTTGCACAAGGAGTCGGAGTTCCCATGGGACGGTATCCTACACCTCCAGCCATATCTCAGGTTCGGTATGACTGGACCCGAACATGGCACCCACCCCAGTCCCACCGAACTTCAGAAGCTACTATATACTTGGAGCCCTAGGGAATATTTTTTGGACAGGTATTTCTGTTGTCTTTAGACTATGAGTTGGCGGCCAGTGATCAGGATCATTCTCACTGTCCGCAGGAGATTTGTTCGGCACCACATCAGACGACCGCATTGGAGTCGACGACCCAAACCCTAAAAACCTTTGAGGCCCCCTAACACGTCTTTTTCGCCCTACAGAACGGGAACAAAAACATAAAGGAACCAAAGGTCAGTGCCATGTACCATACTCAGCGTGGTTGTACATGACCCGGGGGTATTCCGTCTATTCATCAACCAACCAATAGCAAAAGGCCTTGGTCCAAGGTTCCTTCCGACACCAAATGGAAACAAAAGTACAAAAGGGCATCAAGGTAGGGATCCAACCCAGTTCGATGTCCACATTTAGGACAAACCAAATTGATTCTTGGAACTGAATGCTGAAGAGCTGTCCCAGAATGCGAGAACGGCTGCCTTTATTTATGCAACGTGACTTCTGGTAGAATTGGATTCTCAGATGCAAATCTCAAACCATCGGTTTCGTTTGCTGCAACTCAGATCAGTGATCAGGGATGGCACTGAACCCGCCCGCACACACACTTGGGCAGGCAAAGCTCATTTAAAAAGTTCAATGCAAAAAGTTGCCAAACATCACCCAGTCCTACTCTTGAGAGACTTTGGCGGGGTTGAATTTACTTGTTATATATTGTTATTATACGGTGTTACTTTATTTTCGAGATCATTCCTGATGGATATGGGAAACACATCATAAAAGATCGGTATTTTCTGCATGTCCCTGTCAGTGTTTCTGGAAACACCAAGTCGCGCTAGTGTGAAAAGATGTCAAAAGTATGAAGCCATGGGGCTTGCAAACACATGGCAATCATGGGGAAACTTATCACCGCATGTTGCATTCAAACACCACACATCACTGTCATTCTCGGAAAGATTGGTTTCTTAAATAGCCGTGGAAGCAAGGGAGGTGAAGCCACCCCCAGGAAGCATACCTTTTGTTCAAGCAATTATCAGCCGAAAGTACATCGACTGATCTAATTGGAGGACCCCCCAAATGCGACTGGGTGATTGCAAACTTGATTTGGAGCCGGACATGTACTAAGTACACATTCCAAGGGGGCTCTGCCCTCCTTGCCTTACACCAGCCTGGCTGGGAGACCTTCAGCAAACAGTTAAGATGTATTATGTACGATTGTTGTAGGAAACATGTTATGCAACGGAATTGTTCCTAACTCAGGCAAGTATCGCAACAAACGAAAGAGACCCATGCACGGTGTGTGAGGAAATGTGTGTCCTGAATCGATGTGGAGACCTTAAATGGGAGATCTCCACGGAAACCGCGATGAGCCAAATGTCTGCTGCGATGTTGGTGGGAGTTATATATAAGACCAAAAACACCCCCGAAACAATGATCAGTTGACACCGTTGGCACCCATGGTGGAGGGATCTGTTCGTGACTTGTAGGGTCAAGAGGGTTCCGATCCGTACCTAGGTTCCACGAAGAAAGCATCATAAACCCCAAACCTCAAACAAACACGTCGCATGTTCCCGGCGGCGCACTGGTGCTTCACTGGGCTCTGGCCGTGGCTCCGGGAAAAACATGCCTCAAATCCAAGAGGACTTGAGCTCCTGAGGCCTTGGCGCGGAGTTTCCGGTTTCCGGAACTCGGTTGGGGTCCAAACCGATGGTCCAAACCGACAACGGTCCAAGCCGACTCCAAGCCGCGAGGTCTGGTCTTGTCTGGGAGGACGGTCGACCTGACTCCCTCAGTTTTCCCTTGAATAAAACAGCTTAATTAACCCTCTTTTCCCTCTGTTCATAGAAGGGGAAAACCAATCCCACAAAAAGGTTAAGGTTATACGTATTTATCATATCTAGGGTAGGGTCTATACTTATGATATCTTCTGATCCCTTCCGATCGAGCTTCCTTCGTTGGTGGATCGAGCGTGACTATGGCCCAGGTTCAACACTAGTAGCTTAATTCAAATGTTCGATGGCACTAACATGCACTCTCAACCCCACAACTACTCTGGTCGACCTCCTATCTTGGGGATTCGATCCCAACTCCTATCAGATCCGTCCAGGTGATGATGTCCATGTCGTCCGTGTGTTTCATCGTCCGGATGGTGGCATCATCGGATTCCCATGTTTTTTATGGAAGACGTCTGAAAGGGGCGGCGTTGAAGGACCCGAAGAAGACAAAGCATCGCTGAAGAGGGCCCAAGCCAAAACATGCAATTCTCAGGCCCTTCCAAGTGGAAGATGGGCTGTGGAAGCTGTGGGATGTTCCACGACAACAACTCGATTCCTGGGGATGAAGAAACACCTCAACCTGTAACAGGCTCCGCTCACGACACGACGATGATCGTGGGAACCCTTAACTTCCGAAAGGGCCCAGTGGTGAGCTGGCCCTTTCGGAGACCCGAAGAAGTCAGTGCGGATCCGAGAAAATCTCATTGAGAAGCATTTTTGTATGATCAACTGACACCAGCCAGGGCCACGATTTCCAGACAGGGATGGAATATAACCTGTTGGCCCTGAAAGCATGTTGAAATCCACCCCGATTGTAGAAATCCACCTGTGAAATGTGTGCCACACATTCGGGTTGAGAGCACTCGATCATGATCCATTCGCATCCGCCGACTCAAAACCAGCGGTGGGACGCGATTCGCACCGAGCCGATGGCCACTGGAAAAGGCTGCTGTGCGGCGGCCATTCTTTGAGGGATTGAGTCCGGGACTTTGTGAGCCCGGCAACGGTGAGTGTTTGCGCCCGCTTACCAACATTGGTAGCGGAGCGCTGGACGCGCTTCGATGCCAGGAGGAGAGGGGACTACATCGACGGGGTCGCCTACTACCTCCTCGATGGCTGGTGGCACCATCGAAACGATGAAAGACACCTTCATCCCGGTCTTCAACAACAAGGTGGCGGACTACCGGGAGTGGAGACAGCGAATAATGCTGTACAAGAAGAAACTTGCCATCCAGGGCAAGGAGAAGGAAGCCATCTTGAACTTGCTCACGAGCTTGCATGGAACGGCCTGGAAACAGGTTGAACACATGGTCGAGGCTGTCTCCGAGTCCTCCGACGGCTTTGACAGGGTGTTGAAAGCACTCGATGTGGCCTTCCAATACGACAGCCGGGTCGAAATACCAAGAGCCCTGGAGAAGTTTTTCTATCAACTGAGCAGGAAATCAGAGCAGACACTTCTCTCTTACTGCACGGAACACAGAGAGCAGCTGCGAGAAATAGAAAAACACGGGGTCAAAATTCCAGACAGTGTGTCTGGGTGGATGCTCCTTCGAAGAAGCAACCTGACGCAGGAACAGAAACACTTGGTGCAATCACAGGTTGGAGCAACCATGGAGCTGTCGAAAGTGGAGGAGGCCATGTACTACCTGTACGGGCAGGACTTCAAGACAAAAGGCGAGACTCAGCCACGATGGAACAAGAACCTCCTCAAGAAACAACAACGATGGTATCCAAGGAAGCATCAACAGGGCTACACTGCAGAAGAGTGGGAGCCTGAGCTCTTTGACGACCCTGAGGATGCCTTCAACCAGGAGGATGAGTTCCTTGAGGAGGCCTTTGAAGAGTATGACGACCCTGACTCCACCTACAACTACCTGGAGGAGGAGCTCTTTTACCAGGAGGAGCCATGGGCGGAAGATCCTGACCCACAGCTGGAGGAGGCCTACGCCACGTATTTGGACGCCAGGAGACAATTCGCCAACCTCAAGGCTGCTCGAGGCTACTATCCGGTAGTGGCATTGACAAGTCCTGCAGACCTACAAGGCACTCCAAGTTCATCTACCTCCACACAGAGACCTGTCAGCAAAGGTGGAAAAGGGAAGAAAGGGAAAAGCAAAGGCAAGTCCCCACCTCAGAAGGGGAATGCCCTCTTAACGGGGCAGAACAGCCCTTGACTCGATACAGTGCTTCAAGTGTGGACGTTTTGGACATGCTGCTGCAGAGTGCCCCATGAACAAAGGGACATCATCACCCAAGCGAGCCAAGACAGATGCTTCTCCGAAGAGCTCTGGCCATGCCTTCATGATGCACGACCTCAACCAGCAAGGAACGCCAATGCTGTCTGATCGAGGATGGTTTGGTCTTCAGGATGGAGGAGCAAGCAGCATGGTATGCGGCCACGAGACCTTGATGAACATCATCGAGTACATGTATGGAAAAGGGGTGCCCTTGGAGCGGTATACTTTCCACCCTACCACCAAGCTCTTTGGTTTTGGAGGTGATGCCATGCGCAAGGCTGAATGGACTGTTCGCTTGCCTGTGTACGTCAACGGTGCCTCAGGCCTCATTGAGTGTTTCCTGGTTGGTGGGTCAACACCACTCTTGGTGGGAAGACCGGGACGCAGATTGGCGGCCAGCTGTCAACGAAGAACGAGGAGAGTACCTTCTTCGTCTCGATGACGGAGTGGAGGCAGATCCAAAAGGAGAGAGCGTCTTCTTCGACCTGGTCACCACTGAGACCTATGAGATGGTGCAAAGAACTGGAGTGATGCACTCCTCGACCTACACCTTGCTGCAGTATTTGGAAGCAACAGGCAGAGAGCCTCCTGAGCACTGCCTTCAAGCAGATGAGGACAATGCGACCGATGCTGAGGTTGCGGAAGAGCGGCCCGTGGCTCTCCCAGATGAAGAAGAGACGGCAGCAGTGAAGAAGGAAATCACGGACAAACTACTCAGAGGTATCCGTGTCCACCATGCCACGATGTTTGCTCATCGCCGCACTGTGCTTGAACAAGGGCTCAGGGCTCATGAACAAGGGGCCAAAGTCTTCTGGGAAGTCTACTCTGGTGAAGCAGGCCTCTCCATGGAGATGCAGCGGCGGGGCTCACCGTCTTCAGCTTTGACCTCAACACTGGCTGGGACTTTGACTTTCCGGAGCACCGGAACTCCTACTACAAGCTCTTGGAGGACATTGCCCCTGACTTTGTTTGGATTGCCCCAGCGTGCAAGAAATGGTCCAAGATGCAGGCCCTGAACATGCTCACACCTGAGCAGACCTTTGCTTTGCAATGTGAGCGTGACTATGAGGAAGCTGTGCACCTCAAGGTGGCTGAGCGGACCTATGTCATCCAGTACAACGAAGGGAGAGATGCCGGAATTGAACGCCCGGCATGGTCAAAAGCCTGGGAAACTCAGACATGGAGCAATCTACCTGGCTGGCCTTGTCGACTAGACCAGTGCGCCTACGAGACCAAGATCGCTGGTGAGTACATCAAGAAGCCCACCAGACTGCAGCTGACGAGCGCATCAATGGTCGACATGCTGGGCTGGAGGTGCCCTGGGGATCACACCCATCTTCAACTGGAAGGATCCCTGCCAGGCGTGGGTTCTCTGACTAAGGCTGCAGGTGCCTATCAGCAGACGTTCTGCTACTGGATTGGAGAGGCAATCGACCTTTTGTACTACGAGCCTGAGGAACTGGCTATGGAAGGAGACGAGATTGACGATGAGGAGTACACCCCAACGATTGCAGATCACCATCGTGAAGATGAGCCCAATCAACACTCTGCCCAGACTACACCTCGGGGAAATAATCCATCCTCAGATGGTCCTCGAGGAAGAGATCAACAGCAATCTGGTGTGCTTCAACGTCTCCAGATCGCCGATAGTCAGCAGGCCAAAAGGACGATAAGCAGACTCCATCGAAATCTGGGACATCCCACAAACGCTGAACTCTGCAGGTTGCTTACTATAAAGGGAGCACATGAGAACCTCATCAAGCACGCCAAGACTCATGATTGCGCTGTGTGTGCTCAACATCAGCGAAGGCCTCAGGTACCCGTGTCATCGGTGCCAAATGCCCAAGAGTTCAATACGAGGGTGCAGTCAGATACCCTGTGGATCAAGATGCCTCCTGCCAAGCGTGCACTACCTGTGATGATGATCAGTGATGCTGCGACTCGTTTCTTGGGTGGCCGTGTTCTACTGAGAGAATCTCCTGAGGAGTTCGTCTTGGCCCTGGAGCGTGGTTGGATTCGCACTTTTGGCCCAATGAAGATTTTCTGCAGGTGGATGATCATCGAAGTTGGGCATCTGAATATGTCAAGTCCTGGTGCTCAGAGAATGGGATTCAACTGCAGATCTCTCCTGGACAGAGCCACACACGCTTGGCCATTTTGGAACGCCGCCATCAAGTCACAAGGCGAGCAATCGAGCTGTATGTGGCCGATCAAGAACAAGGAGATGTGCTACAGCCTCATGAGCCCAGAGAACGGCTGATCCAAGCCCTCTGTTACGTCATCCCTCAGATCAATCGAGGGACGAACGTTCGAGGCTATAGCCCAGTCCAGTGGGTTCTGGGTTACACTCCCCATGTTCCAGGACTTCTGACTGAAGAACCGCTAGAGCTGCCAAGTTTGGATCCCTCTGATGAGTTCCTTCAGAAACTACAGCAACAGAAGAGAGCAGCCAATGCAGTCTTCTCAGCAGATGTGGACATTCGCCTTCGACGAGCCCTCAACAGGAAATTCACAGGCCAACTGACAGTCTTCCAGCTCGGGGACTTGTGCTACTACTACAGAGATGGACCTGGAGGAATCGGCCCCAAGCTGAGATGGCGAGGACCTGCCCGTGTGGTGATGGTGGAACAATTGGACAGTGGCCCACACACTACGATCTACTGGCTGGTTCATGGAACGAACCTGTTAAGAGCAGCTCCTGAGCATCTGCGACCGTGCCAGAACAAGAGATGCCAAAGGCGACAGATGATGACCCTTTCTACAGAGCACAGCAAGCACTTCAAGGAGTCCGAAGCAGGGGAACAACCCTCTACACAGATCTGACAAGGACCAACAAGAGGCAGCGACATGAGGTCTCAAGCGGCGAAGAAGATGAAGAATTTGATGACGAGGACCTTCCAGATGGCGATGATGAACATCCGGGCCTTGTCGACAGCTGGGAAGTATATCAGCAGACCAAAAGACATGGACAAGAATACACAATGTCCCCAGGAGAGAACTCTACGTGCCAGAAAATGAGTCAGGAGTACCACTTGACAGGTTCAGCAGTGATCGCCTCACAACAGTGAGAAGGCAACCACCACATCCTCCCAGAGTCAGACTTCGTGATGACTGGCGAGTAATGGATGCCTCAAGATCCCTGCACTACACGTGGACAGGAACTACAACTTTTGTGGTTGAGGATCAGAAAGACGATGATTCTGACGTACTTGTTGAAATTCTTGGTGAGCCTGAAGCACCCACAGATCCTGATGAACCGCAGGATGAACCACCAACGACGAATGACGCACCACCACAGACCAACAACGGAAGTACCGGACAACAAGCTGGAGATGCGTCAACGGGTGCTGGAGGAACTTCATCTCATCAGGTGGCAGACAGTCCTGAAGTCACTGAGGCTCCACCTGCTCAAGTACCAGAACATCAGAGACAACTCTATGAACCACAACCATCGGAGGATTTCCAGGCACAGAGGGCCAGAGTGGACAAGCAAGAAACTCTGTCATTTCTTCGCAAGCCAATGGCTTATGGACCCATCAGATCAGAGTCAGCTCGGACAACCCCTTATGATCATCCAGCCCAAGAAGACCTCAACATTCAGATTGACATTGACGTTGAGAAAGTCACTGATCTGCCACCGGGTTGGCACGTTGAAGATGGTTGGCTTTGCTTGGATGCCCCTAATGACGAATGGACGCTTGAAGGGAACTGGCTCATCCGGAATCGCTATGCGCCCCGGAAGACGGCATACAAGCCCACAGAAAATGATTGCCCCATCGACCTCAATTACCTGGCTAAAGACAGAGTGACATCAACAACCCATGGAACCTTCAAGGACAGATGGAAACGTCAGAGCACCAACCATCTCATTGAGGAGGCCTTCTGGACTGGACAGACCAAGTTTAAGCTGAAACCAAACTGGCGGACCAAGGCTCAAGAAGACTATAAGAAAGCCAGTGGTGGTTACAAATCGATGAGGTCCACATCTGACCAGCCCATGACCAGGAAGAAGAAAGGAAAAGATGAAGTCTACGAGCGCTACATGTCCGTGGCCGACAGACAAGCCTTCATGAAAGCAAAAATCAAGGAGCTGGAAAGTTTCTTCAAGAATGAGGTCTGGATCTATGATCATGAAGACAATGCAGACCCGACAAGGATTTTGAAGGCACACTTCATCCTGACGTGGAAGAAGAATGAAGATGGCACTCCAAGGGCAAAGGCACGACTCATCACCCAAGGATTTAAAGATCCTGATGCCTTGTCAGGAGCTTTGGCGACGAATGCTCCTACGTTGACACGACTGGCCCGAGGGATGATCCTGAGCATTTGCCAACTCTACTCCTGGAAGATGTTCACTTCAGACATTACCACAGCCTTTCTTCAAGGAAAGAACTTTGCAGAAGGCTCTGATCGAGTGATTTGGATCAAACTTCCAAAGGATGCCAAAATGCTACTTGGTCTTGAAGCAGATGCACCCCAATTGATGAAGCTGGTCAAGCCGATGTACGGACTGTGCGATGCACCAAGGGCTCCTACGGCATCCACTTGACCCATGCCTCTTTATGGTCTACAAACCATTGCCTGAAGGAACCCCACTTGATCCTACGGTGGAACGTGAGCCCTCCTGCATCTTTGGCATTCACGTTGATGATTTGGTTGGCTGTGGAGACCCAAATGACCCTGTCTTCACAGAGACCAAGAAGAAACTGCAGGGAGTCTTTACCTTCAGAGAATGGCAAGACGGAGACAAGCTTGAGTATTGCGGCAGTCAGATCGATTGCCAGCGTGCTGAGGTGATCAAATTGAGCCAAGAGGAATACATCCACAAGGTCAAGCCTATTCCGATCACCAAAGAGCGTCTCCAGAACCTCGATGACTGGGTGACAGAGAAGGAAAGATCTCTACTACGGGGACTCATTGGTGGCCTTCAATGGCCGGCAACCCAGAGCTCACCACACTTGCAGGTGGGAATTTCACAGCTGGCTGGAGAGACCTCCAAAGCGACAGTGGCAACATTGCAGAAGGGGAACAAACAACTCCGATATGCAAAGGAGTACGCCGATGTTGGACTGCAGTATCGTCGCTTGGGAGAAAAGAGCGAGATGACATTTGTCGTCTACAGCGACGCCTCTTTCGCAACAAGATCAGACCTGAGCAGTCAAGGAGGCTACCTACTAGCTATGTGCCACCGTGATGTCGCAGATGGAAGATGTGAAGGGCACTACAACATTCTCGACTGGCGCAGCTGGAAATTGCCCCGTGTCGCCAGAAGCACTTTGTCAGCAGAATCTCAAGCAGCAAGTGAAGCAGCCGATAGCCTGATGTACACCTCACTCTTCTGGAACATGATTTTCAGAGCACTCCTTCCTTTGGACAACATAGAGACAGGTCACCTTCCGAACAGTCCAAAGTTGATCGTGGACGCCAAGGCCCTCTATGACATCCTGGTGAAGGAAGAGATTCAGGCGGCTACAGGAGCAGACAAACGAACAACAATAGAAGCACTTGTCTGCCGAGACAAACTGGCATGTTGCAATGGAAAAGTGATGTGGGTGTCATCAGAACTTCAATATGCAGATGGCCTGACAAAAGATGCAGCAGCACCCCTGTTGGGACAGAGATTGCGTTCCCACATGACCAAGCTCAAGAGCGACGAGACTTTCCAGGCTTCCAAGAAGAAGAACGTTGCAAGCCGAAAGAATGGCGAGAACATGTACGCCATCAAAAGACCGGAAAGAGCATTGTATGCAATGTTTGCCAACTTCTTCATGGACGTGACCAACGCCCAAGTGATTGAGAAGGGTGAGAATGGCACTATGAAGAAGAACCACATCCATGAGGAAAATGAACTGTTTGACTACCTCTTGATGATCCTCTTCACCATGACCTTCGGCATCATCATGTGGTTGGTTGTGAAATGCTTTGACAAGTTCGCCACCAGCAGGAATTCAACAAGCCCGACTCTGAAGAGCACCAGAGAGAGCTCAGCCCAGACGGATCGGACTGGCATGGAGGAACAACGCCTTGTGGAGCTTCGGAAAGACAAGATCAAGCTTCAAGATGAAGTCTCCCACCTTCGTGATGAGTGGGCCCTTGCACAAGGCAACTTCCAAGAATACCGCCGACAAGTACAAATCTTGCAGCGGGAGAATGACAAGCTGAAGGAAGAGCTGGAGTCAACAGTCCAGCAACGGATGAAGGTGGCAAAACAGAACGCCTCTATGAAGCCAATTTTCATGGCAGCCATGGGTGGATGCTGGCATGCAAGTCGGAAGTGCGTCGCTGGGCGCACCGCAAATCTGGTCTATGAGCGACAACCATGTAAGGCATGCTCCCACACCTTCTTTGAGTCCTCTACCTCACAAGCCACACTGGAGAGCACTCATTGGTCGGAGTACACGCATGGCGATCTGACTGGAAGGGCGACGTCGTCCAACACCCCATGGTAGCATAGAAGTGTTTGAAGTGCATGATTTTCTTTAATTTCTTGAACTGGCTTTCCACCCGTGTGAAATGTGTGCCACACATTCGGGTTGAGAGCACTCGATCATGATCCATTCGCATCCGCCGACTCAAAACCAGCGGTGGGACGCGATTCGCACCGAGCCGATGGCCACTGGAAAAGGCTGCTGTGCGGCGGCCATTCTTTGAGGGATTGAGTCCGGGACTTTGTGAGCCCGGCAACGGTGAGTGTTTGCGCCCGCTTACCAACACCACCCAATTGGTAGGGATTGGTACCTCCAGTTCCCGACTTTGTAGGATCACTTGGACCTTCACCGGCTGAGGGTCCTTGATTCCTACAGTACCAGTACAATACTGTACTATGACTATATGGGAATGTATGAAAAATGGATCCTACTCCATCCATCCATCTAGGATTGTGCGATCACTTGGTGCCCGCCCGTTCAGGTTTGAGTCTTAGGTTCGAATCCAGTGGTGAAGTGACGGACTTCTGGATATCCTCTGATCAAGTCCATGTCTTTAGGGTTTCAGCTCGTGAAAAAGCTGCAGCTGGTGCCAAGGCCACGGCTCATTAACGATCGCCTCCTCCTCAACCAGCTGGTTGCTGGGCAGCTCTTCGCCTCCAGCTGCAAGTTCCGTCTCCGCCTGGCAGAATGGGGTCGGGGGGAGAGGCTGCCCACAAGGGAGAAAAAGATACATGAAACAACCACCACCTCCAAAAAGGCCTCAGAAAGATCCCCCTGACACTCACCTTCATCATCGTTCACCTTCATTCCCGCTGACAACAAAGGGATACAAAGGGTCTGTGCGTTCGCATAGCCGCTATTTGCAAAGCCTGGATCATGAGACCCGAAAGTCGGAGGTTTAAAGTCGATCCGGAAAAGGGGACTGACTTCTTATGTCCTGCGTTCGGTGCGTTCGTGGTGTGCGACTTGCGGTAGACCTAGCTGCCAAGCTCCAGTTTCGTCAGAATTGTCCACCTCGAGAATGGCCCTCTTGTTCGAGTCTGATATTCTCAAAACCCTCAATGACTCAACTTGTTCAACAATCATATTCTGGGAGTCCAGGATCGCAAGCTAGGCTGGATCTCGATGTTGGCTGATTATTCCTCATATTGGGAAGCACAGCACTTCACCCAAAACTCTACCGCGGAAATCACCGATCTTTAAGTAGCAGTCACAGTGCCCTTTTTATGAAGAACCTCCAGACTATTCGCCAGCAGCACCTGCCTCCACTGACACGTTGGATGCCGTCGAACGCTTGGATCGCTTGCCCTTCTTGAGGCTCGGGTCAAAGGAGGAAGAATTGATGCGCCTTGGACGAAAACACCAGCCTTCCAAAACCCCAATGGTCAAAGTCAGTCCTCATGACCACCAAATCTGTGGAGGCCTGAGCCGAACATGTTGTTGAGCCGTCCACGTATCAGGTATCCAGTTCTTCGAAAGACTAGAAATGGTAGAACCGGACTCAGGACCCCGATCAATTTTGAAACTAAGATCTGGGACACCGCTGTGACTGCAAAATCTTTATATGTGTCCTCCAACCATACCCAAACACTCCATTTCTGTCACCATGTCTGTCATATATGCCTACATTGACCCCTCTGGCACCACCTCAATGTAGGTGAATATGCCATACATGGAATGCCTGGGAGATATATGGATAATATGTTGTACAATGTGGTACAAACAATCGGTGTCTGAATCTGCCTCCACCAGTTTGCCTCGACCGTTGGAGCTTGGTTCGTCAAGGCACGCGTTAAACTTGTAGGTCACGGCGTCTTCAGCAGGCGGTGCAACCTACAAGGGGCGACCACGGCGATCGGAGACGGTGCTGGGACCAGTGTCCTGCATGCCGCAGTGGTCACGAAGAGACCGATCGAATCTCCAGTCGTTCCAGATGAAATCTGGCTATGGGTCAAAATTCAAATCAGATATAGGTCTGGCGCAGCGCAGCGCAGCTGGCGGCGGTCGAAAAAATACACGAAGGCTGCGGAACGCTCCCACGCTCCCCCCGCCTCAGTGGCCAAGAGGGTGATACAAGTGGTTATCTTGTTCATGTCAAAGACTGCCAAGCTGTCGAGCCTCGGGGCTGGCGCGTACGCGCCAAGCGAGCCCGGACGTCCTGTGAAACACGGACGGAGCTCTTCTGGGGGGGGCTGTGTATACGATGGCGATGGATCAGGGTGAGCTGATGGTGAGCTGTTTCTTTCTGGTGAACCCAGCTGGATCAGCCTGGTCTTTGAACCCAACAGTTTACTTCCTCCAATGATGTCCCTTTGGGAAGAACAAATTGAGGGATCAGTGTGGTACCAAGTGCCAATTGGTTCCTCCAGTAATCCATCAATCAGGAAAACCTTGGTCAGACCGTCTATAACTTCCTCGAGGCGCGACTCAATGCTCTGAGCCAGTTCTGAGCCCCATCAGTAAGACTGGAGATTTCCAGACTGGAAGACTTCCTTTTCGTGGGTTTTTGGGGATCTTCTCAGCGGAGAGTCTCAGTCTAAAAGCCTATGACCACCACAACTGTTCACTAGTGTTATAAAAAACTTTAATTGGAAAGAGCCCGTTTTCTAAATTTTAGAAAAAAAAGTCAAAAAAAAGGTCAATCCCAAAAGTCAAAGTCCAAAAAAAAGTCAAATCAGCAAATTTCAGAAAGTCAAAAACAAAAAGTCAATTTGCCCAGATCCGACTTGTTGCTTGACTTTCTTTTTGACTTTTCAATTTGATGTTTTTTGATTTGTTTCGACTTTTTTGACTTGTTTTTGACTTTTTCGAGCTGTGGTCTATGGGTGACTTTTTTTTGACTTTTTTTGTTTTTTTTGACTTTTCAATTTGACTTTTTTTTGAAAATTAAACTTTCCAGTTGACTTTTTTTGACTTTTTTTAAATCACGGATTCTGGCCTTACCATATGAAAGTTTTTTAATAACACTAGTGCCGACAATAGTAATATGTCATATCTTTAAAACATATACATGGATGTGTTTTTTTATTAGGGAGACCCGCAACCCAATGGGTAGACTGGTCATGTTCTTCCTTCAAGGGGTCGGTACCTGGGAGGTCTCCCTATTCTCTATACACCTTATTTATGCATGACATATCTTATATATAATTATATAATGCTCGCTGAGCTCCTGTTTCTCATGTCGTCTCAGACGATGGATCGGTCTGCAAGCGGAAGAGGGGAAGCTGCAGCTGTCAGCGATGTCCATCCACCAGAAATCCACCAAGAGCGAAATAGTTACTTGGATGGATGGGTCATAGAATGTCATAGATATGAGTCAGTTAACAAAAGAGTACTCAATAGTTGCTTAGATATGCTTAGATTAGGGTCATAAATAGGGTAAACGTATGTAACTATTTCAGTCCCTTGGATGGGCTGGGATTCACCGCAAATGGTCAGATCACCCTTCCGAAGCAACAGTTGGGCAAGAGACTCCTTGCGAGTTGTGGAACACCAAGTAGTCAAGATGTTGGTTCTGATGAGTGTCAACCAGCAGTCAGAAAGAGTGCTTACTGGAGGTTAGGGGTGCCCATTATCCACTCACTTAGGAACTAAACACCACCCTGTCTTGTGACTCCTGGAAGATTGATCTGCTTGCGTCTGTCCCACAACTCAGGGACCATGACCCCTCCAGGCTGGAGAGGACAGACCCTACATTGGAGGAATTGGGGTCGAATTCATCAGCTTTTGACGGCCCCAAAGGTTATTCTGGTGGGGCACATCCTCTGATTTCCTGTGCTTTGAAGTTTGATTCAACATTATTCAACCTGGAGTAAACGCTCCAGCATCACGGTGCAGGGCTTGGGTTCGGCCGAGCTTCGCCTTGAAAAGCTCCTGGTGTTCCATCTTCTCCAATTGCATAGCCAACTCCTGCAGAAACAAACATCGAAGCAACACGCTTCGAAGAAGTCGAAGGTGTCAATTCCTTCAAACACAGGAACCAACTACCAGCACCCGACTCTACACGTCTCCTCTAGAGTCAGATTGATGAGCCCCAACAGGTACTCAATTGGTGACCCGTTGGAGGAAGCAGAATGACCCGCCAAAGAGGTAGGGTAGGAGCGTCCTAGGGTCCTAGATGGAGCACCTCATATGGAGTGCCTCAACAAACCCGGTTCGCCGGTTGGGGAAGCCTCTGTCTTTTCCTCTATCGTTGGTGGGTTTCGCGCAGGCATGCAGGCATGCGGGGAATCGTTTTGCGCCGCCGATCCGATCTCCGAGGATGAGCATCTTCATCACCGAAGAGTTCGATGCGTCCGCGGACACAAAACTTAAGTCACACACAAACAAGGTGTGCTTCCGCCAGGAATCACTAAGTACGAACATTCGGTACACAAGTCTCACGAGTCGCTCTTAGATAAAAACCCTCAATCAATGTGTGCAATTACTCGCGCTTGGATCGTTCTTGGGATGTATATATATATATATATATCGTGTTGGTAATGATTATTAAACGACTCGTCGTCATTAGTCGTCCACTTTCTTGAATCCGTCAGGCTGCGTCGCCTGTGTCCAGAAAAGCGAGTGACGGAGGCTCGTTTGGGCCAGTTTCTCGGATCCGCACCAACACCTGGACCTTTTGGAGCAAGAACCATTAGGACCATCCTGGACCTGGACCGATCCACTAGTGGAGGGTAGTGCCAGGTGACCGAGACAGAATAGTTCCGGTACGTGACAGGCGACACTCTTTTGTGGGGTCATGGATATGGAGACAACATGAGACAGGGGGATTTCTTTCGGATTTCTTTCGCTCAAACCAGAGAAGAACAGGCCTGGTGACTTCGAAGCTTGGGCGAGCAAACAGGGACGAACCACGGGGGGGTTCTAGCAGCGTGATCAATTCACATGGTAGGCCATTCCGGCCCGAAAACTTGCTAAAGCTAAGAGCAACTCCAGCCAGCTGATCACTTTCGTGACAACTGGACCGTCCAAAGTACCTGATCTTCCACAGCCAATTCGGACACCAGCGAGCAATGCAGCGATGCTTTCTGAGTTGCATGTTGCTCGTGTATGTTCGTGTCAGGTTGTTCAACGTGTGACAAAAAGAATTGGACACTACTACTACAAACTGTGTTCCATTGCCTTGCTACCAGTTTGCACGGCGTTTTCGCAGTGCGAAACTGGGGCCAACGACTCAATGACCCTCAAAAAACAATATTGGGTGGGTTGACCTATTTCACGGTATTTAGAATTCACACAAGCCTATTGGGGAATCATCAACCAAATAAGCACTTGCGGGGTGAGTTGGAGGGAGAAGTTCAAGTTCTCAAACAAACCAAACCACATGTTTGGTTGACTAAAGTCTTGTTCCCGAAAGCGGCGTGACTTCAGAAACCCATGGGTGCCGCTACATGTGTTCTATATAGCACTGATATCCATCAATGATCATATACCTTGTCATACCTGTAACTGTCCATAAAACTAGGTACTGACAATCATCATGTCAAAAAATGCTTCCAAGAATCATGGCCCTGGCATCCTGGAACCCTACGACTGGTTCAGAACATGAACAGCATAGACTGGCCACTCAGTCTTTGACCCACTCGGCCCATAGACCGGGGCGAAACGCCCCAGGAACGCCCGCGCGTGACCGCGCTCCTTCACTTTGGTCGCGAGGCGCGCGGAGTCTGGGACGGAGCCCAGGTTGAAGAGCCGCAGCTCCTGGCAGATGAGCTGCGCCACCGCCCAGCTCGGAGCACGAGCGCTTCCGAAGCCCGGCATCTCGGGGCAACCAGTCATCAGCTGGAAAGCACAAACAGTGGGATACAGTGGGATATTAAATAGATTTTGAATTAGTATATTAGTGAATTAGTGGAATCACAGCGGGATATATATATATATATACTTACTGGAAAACAAACAGTCTTCAATCAACTCGACCACTCACGGTTTCTGGTTCGTTGACAACCGTTTTTTCTACGATCTGCTGCAAACTCAGTCCGCGACACGGGGAAAGGCCCTCTCAACGCCCATCCCCCTAAGACAATCTTCGATGAAAGAGCATGGTCTGACACTAAGATCCACCAAGCCCTAGGGCTCCAACCACATGCTCAAAGCAGGTTGGGGTGGGTCTGACAGAGGGTCTAACTACATTCTGAGGATGTGGGCCAGGAGCCCTGGGCTTTTCTCTTCTCTGCTCCTCTCTCTCCATCACCCTAGCTCATGGGCATTCTGCCACATCACCAATGCTTCTCGCCGATTTCTTGAGGCAAAAAGATTCTCAGCAATAAAAAGCCTCGGTCCTTCTTGCCGCCCAATGCACTCCGATAGATCAATGCGCTTGAGGTCATTAAGCACATGAGACCCAGGGCAATGCCAATCCCGGTCCTTAGTGACCGGCAGGTGGAGTTCGAAACACCCGCTCCGGACACCCGGAGGTGGGTCTGCACAAGACGTGATCAGTTCCGAACATGTGGGTCCCTGGACCTTCAAGGGGTGTGCAATGGAGGTCCCTTAGTAGTGTAGGGGCTTCCATTGGTGACCCCTTTGAAGGTGCTGGTCTGTATTTAAGAGGTATAGACATAGACCCCCAACCAATGACGTTCCTTCTGGAATTAGGGGGAAAAATGGCTGGATGTCTCCCTATTTTAATACACAATGTGACATCCTGCCCTCAACTGGCTGATCAAATTAGGAGACCAGTGTCATGCATGTAGGCTGCAAACTGTACTGGTAGATGAATCAAATCCCCCACGTCTCTGTTAAATGCTTCAACATGGTTCAACCATTCTCCAGGCCTTCAGATCCCGGTCGGAGCAAAACACAGTCACCGTGCACCGTGCACCAAGCCCGGTGTCGAACATGCACCGACCCAGCTCCACCATCCGAAGGCACAACATCGCCGTGGAGATGCCCTCCGCGAAAGCCACCATGGGACCTTCCTGGGACGGTCGTGGATGGCAACACAAGGCTGGGTCGGGATCAGGATGGGTATAGCCACCATGGGACTGGAAATGACTGGAATCCTGCCTAGATTGGCCATTTGAAACTAGCTGGGTACATATTGCGAACATGACATGGAGTGTCAGGGTAGAGGTTCTTGATATGATGGTTCATGCCCGATCAGTCTTAGCAGATCAGTTGGTTTGTTTCAGTGAAACCGCGTGAAATGGGATCCATTTTCCGTGTGGGTTTGAAGACAGCGGATCAAGGAAGGAGTGACCGGACCAAGGCAAATCTGTGCTTGGTGGTCTGACGGGCCCACGGTGCCGGAACTCGCTTGAGTTTTTGGAAGCTGGGCACTCAACCCAGGTTCTGATCCCTGGGAGCGAACTTAATCCCTGGCTTGAGGTCTTGATCCCTGGCCTGTAGACTTGGGGAATCCCTAAAGGTCACTTTGAAGAAGCTCGAGCCTGGCTCTTCCTGCATTCCCTGCAGCGCCCACATAGCTTTCTTTCTTTCTCGTGCGCCAAAGACGGTTGTCTGCGGCAACATGCACTAATTGGCAGTTAATTAAGGGTTGGTCTTTGCCCCTTGTTCCCAAAATCATCTCCCATAGGTGCCTCGGAATCAAAAGACGCGTTGAGGGCCTCCAACACTTCCTGAAACCACTCCGGAACTGGTTGAGAGATCTTGGGAGGGGGCTGGCTATCGGCACAGACGGTCGCAATGGCTTCACAGAAGCCAGGAGGGTAAACTTTGAGTTCAGAAGTTTTCCATGTCCCATCTGTATTTTTGCCGATGGCCGATACAAGCGGCAAATTCGTTGTTCGCTTGTAAAAGAGGGTGTCCTGTGCATTGTCGTTCACATTGACAAGTAACAAGTCTGTCGGATTGACGGTCTTACCGCCATAATGGCCTTGGAGAACTCGCACTCGAGACACTCTCGGAAACAGCTGGAGGACTCTCATAATCGCCGTCTTCCAGACAGAGACTACGTGAGGCTCATTGTCCTCAGCAGCAGGGTGTTCTAAGACACCAGTTTTGCCATGCACTAGGGCTACGCAGAGGAGCTTAACTGCGACAGCGAGGAGCCTGGAACCGAAAGTCACCTGGTCATCCTCCCTCTTAGACAGGTCAACTCGCCCATACGGTCTGGAATTAGTTCGGACAACGCGAGGCCCCGCGGTGCCGTCGCTAAGCTCCTTTCCCCTTGCACGGGACCACGTTTCACAAGGTGGTCCTGCAACAATGCCCTGTAAAACGTTCTGCTCAAGCGCGCGCCTAAAGAGCGCAAAAGTCTCGGGCCTATTCAGGTCCCCGAGTGTAATGTTGAAAATTATATCTACGGAGATCATGACAATTCCCTTTCGTTCTAAGCATTCTTGGACATCGGCCGCCCTACGGTGACCGGAAAAGAGATGTGCAAAGATCACTGGAGTGTACACAGGCTGCCGATAGCAGGTAAAAAATTGTCCTTGCAACTTGGCGGCAGTTTCTTCCATCAGCGAGCTTGCACTCTTGTGCATTCCAAAATGTACATGTCCAGTCTGAAACCATCGAAATGCAAACCGTTGTTCATAGACACCGAAAGCCTGGAGCGAGTCCAAAGACAGTTCATCGGTTCGGATGGCAGACCTTTGCCAATCTTGGAAAGCTTGCTGGATTTCTTGGGGGAAAAGGCAGGTCCCAAGGGTGGCCTGTCGCAAACCTTCCAACAATGACTCAGCTGTGTGTCCGGGACCCAATACTGCATTCCAGGATTGGGTGAGCTTGTGCACTTCTCCATGAACAAAAGGGTCACCAATGGACGCATTTGGATCAACACGCCTCGGTCCCTCACCTTGCATCATGGGATCTGGCAGCTGCGGCTTGTCATTATTGGCTCTTCGGCTATTTACGCCAGGCTCTGGGTCAATGAGCAAGGCACCAGTCATATATTGCTGTAAACAAGCTGGACTTCTCTTCACATGGTTCTGAAGATTGATGCCCGATGCAAAATGTTTTAAACATGCGATGCATTGCAAACCGTCAACAAAGTAACGAGTAACGTTCTTACGTGCATGCTTTTTAAAAGAATGCACAGCTAATGCCGCCGGGGAGGCAAAACAGCGTGAACATTGCAGGCAGAAATATTCTTCTGAGCTCGTCTCTTCAGTCGTTCGCAGGGCATAGTTCTCCGTGAGGTAGTCTAGGATCCATCGATGCCATTGTTCCCATTCATGGGCTCTTCTGCTGTGAGCAGTCGCTCTTGCTTGTGCTCTCTTCAGAAGCCGCTTCCACTGGAGCGGCCTCCGTTGGGCCCAGTCAAGCATAAGGAGCCAGCTATTCTCAGATCCATCAGGTACCTCATCTTCAGTACATAAGGATTGGAGCCATTGAAGATCTTCCAAAATTGCAGTGTACCACCGCTGCTCCATCTGGACAAGCGCCCAAAAATGTGCTTGGCCAACTCGGACCATCTGTGCCAAATAACGCAACCTGGAGACCCTCAAGATGGTCTCAGTACCTGGCAGGTTAAGTGAAGCATACACATGGTCAGAGCTCCATTCTAGTGCGCTTGCCCCATAATGCATCACTGCAACTCGTTTATGGAGCTTATCAAAGCTAGCTTCAATTTGTCGCTTCTGGCCCTTGGTAGTCGTAATCCAAGCTGCCGCATTGAAGGTGATGGCACTAATCACCAACGACTGCAATAGCTGGGCTTTTGCTTTGATGGCTAGCTTCCTATTGGAGAAGATCTGTGACTTATATCGTGTGATTGTGTCGTGGGCTACACCGAACTTGCCCTGGATGTCTTTTTGTGTGCGCCCACCTATCTGTATGATCGTTCCTAAGTGCCGATACTTCCCGACCACTCGCAGGGCTTCATGGATCAAAGGCGTTTGCAGAAGGAATTTATATTCCTGATGCGCCAAGGATCGCTTCGCTCTCAAGGAGCCATGTCCCCTGAGGTCAAGGATCAACTCAGTTTTGCCAGGTTTCATGTTCGGTTGTAATCCGATCACAGCTAGGCTATGCAGGACCGCCGTAGCAACCTCCGGGATTACCCGCAGTAATTCATTCGGCTGGTCATGTGTCAACGCTAGGGCAAGGTCATCCGCCCACACGGGAAGCAGAGGGCCTAACTGCTGGCATGCCTCTGACGCAAAAGGTTCATATCTTCCGTTCCAAGAGATCGTCAAGAAAGGGAAGCGTGCAACCAGTGTACTCTCTAAACGAGTCAGAAGTTTGGAGAGTGCAAAGCCAAAGCAGACATCTGCAAATGAATCTCCAGGACGGCTTCCTCTATGGGTCTGCGTCCAAGCATCAGTACCTGTGACCTGAAACCATGTTCTGGAATAGAATTCACGGAAAAGCTTCTGAAGGTAGGGGCTTGCAGAGGAGCCATCGAGAGCCGGCCCTTCTTCATAGAAGGCAGAAAACTCTTCATACGCATCATCTGGTAGTGCTAAACTATCAAAAACTGCCCGTACCGTGCGCTCCATCCCGGTTCCTGACACAATGTGCTCTCTGAGCAATCTATAAAATGCATTTTGTATGTCCACAAACAAGACAGCAAAGCTGAGCCGGTTTTGGTTGGCCCAGCTATGGTAAAGGTGCAGAGTATGTGACACTTGGGTGATACCCTGTCCTTTAAGGCCCCCTAACTGCATACTACATCTAGTCTGACCAAAGACATCTCCAAGACGGCCGCGGTACAAGCTATGAAGGGCCTTGCCGACTGAGCTCGAGACAAATAGTGAGCGGTAGTTCTCACAAAGGGCAGGCGATCCTCGTTTAAAGGCTGGGACAAGCTTCCCACCTTTATATAGGAGCGCTTCTCTTTGGTAGAGGACTTCTTTTAGGAATAACGGGAGGAATAGCTCCGTCATGCCAGCTGGGATCATGGACAGAAGATCGCCAGGGATCCCGTCCCCAAAAAAGGCTTTGTTCTTAGACGTTCTTCTGAATGCCGCTTCAACCTCTAACCAAGTCGGAAAATCTGTCAACTCAGGGACGAGCCGCTCTTCAGGCAGGGTGTGGCCTTGATCGAGAAGTGCTAGAGGCTCCACAAGGTGACCATCTTCTTGCTTAGCAAAATGAGACCGCCAAGTTTCTGCCAGCTCTGCCAACGTGTGAACCGGTCGTCCTTGGGAATCTTGTACAAGCGGGAGCGGCAGAATCCCTGAGGGTTTCTTTTTGCTTCTTACTCCGATCGATCTCAAAGCGTCAGCAAAGTCTTTAGGATTCATCTGCGGAGCTCTATCAGCCACTTCTTCGAGTGCTCGTGTACGATCTGTCTTAAGGCTTTGTGTCAATGTCTTCGTGTGTCCTGCAAGCACTCGTCTTTGTACAAGAAGGAGCCTCATCATAGCAAGGGCTTCTGACATGCTCTTGAGCGTACTATATGGGCGTCCTTCCTGCCATGCTACAAAAGCTGAAGCCAATGTCACGAGGTTGAGACCACGTCGGCCTTTTGTCACATCAGCCCTGAGGCGAACCCGTTCTCCTCGAATCTTCCATGTTGTTGAAGATATATAAGCTTTCCGTGGCCTCGATCTTGCAGATGGGAACAGCTCAGCAAGCTTTGCAGAAACCCTATCGGAGAGCAGCGTGGCATGCCTATCGACACTCATTCCCCACGGGATGGCTCCAAGACCTGCAAATTGCTCCCCTAGCCAGACCGGGTCAGCACTCTGTAGGGCCCTGCGGTCAAAACTTGGCACACCTGTCTTGACTCTTGCAACCTCTTGCTGTAGAATACAGCTAATGGCTAGTGGCACATGGTCAAGTCCATGGTTCCCCTCATCCAACATTGGTTGCAGATAAGTGTAGATTTGTTGCTGCTTCCAAGCGGCCGGGCAAACCAGGTAATCGCAGCGCGCCTTCTGGCCATTAACATTGCTCACCCAAGTCTCTGTTGGGCCGCTGTGGATCCACTCAAAGGTGGAAGGCAGAAATCCTTGAATTTTGTCTAGGAAAAGCTTGAAGCATCGTGCAGAGATGTTTTCTTTGTCTT